TCTGCTGTACAGTAGGTTACAAGTGGGTTACTGTAATGAATGGAATTAAATTTGAATCCAATGATATTATATCATTGTATACGAAAAACGATTTTGAGCGGAGACGGTTTATCTTAAACCTATTAAAAGTTCGCTCAAATGTTTTGAAAATTTTACCATGTATACTAAGGTTAATATAAATAAACAACCCAAATTTTAAGATTTTACGAATGTTTTTAACCGAATGACAACAAAAAAACTCCCAAAATTAAAATGTCTATAAATAGCTCAAAAATGGCTAAAATTTTCCGAATTTTAAACCGTAAGAGACAAAAGCCAAAATACAACAAAAAAGTTCTCTTGTAATTATTCATTTGAAGTAATATTTCTGGTAGAAAACGTCGTCCGTATTTATTTAATATTATAAAATTATGAAATCGTACGTTTTTCTCCTTTAACCACATTTATTTCGAGTACCGTTTCGTAAATCAAAAAGTGACCTTTCAAAAGTACCAGCTCAAGAACATTACCTTTTAGAAAATATGCTTAACTTGATACTTTCTACCAAGTTTAGAGGAAGAAAAAGTATTTACAGAATAAAAAAGAAAAAAATATGTAATAAACATCATTATAAAACCAATACATTCCTCGYTCCCCTCAGAATCTAAAATATTCATCGTTGTAAAATCAATACATTCCTAACTTCATTGAGAATTTAAATGATATAACAAAAAAACTGATTTTATAATTTAGATTACAGGAATTCACCAAAACGTAGCCTTGGGCTTTAATAAGGTATAGGGACTCACAGTTGTTTAATTTGGATGAATTTTCAAAATATTGCAATTGTTTTGCTTTAGCTCTCCATATTTTCAACGTTTCTTCATCTCTAAAATTTAAAAATACATTATATCATAGTTTTAATTGGTTTTAGAAAAATGAAAATACAACAGTGGTGTCCTTATGCCATACATTAGTAAATATTATTAGTGTAGCCGTGTAGGTAGGTACATAAATGTTTGCGGCTTTTTTTAGTTTGACCAGTGATCACGGCTGCATGTTACTTTCGTCCCAAAAAAAAGGTATATTTTACAGCCTTACAGGTAGTAAATTTGACCGGTAACTTGAGTCCCGTTTTGGGGACACAAGTCGGCTATATAATAATTATTATCGATATTTACTACTAAAATCACTTAAGTCGATAGTATCGTGTCACTAAAATCGATATAGTTCATTATCTATACTAAATTGTATATATAGGTACCTACGGATATACRTAGGCATACGTATTCGTTAAGGTATAATTTACAAGTGAATATCCTCTCCAAACGCTTGTAAAAAATTAATTTGATGTCATGAACTTGAAATAATTTGAATTTTTCGTGGGTTTTAATAAATTAACTTTAGATGCTCGTGGAAAAGTACTGTGGATGTAGACTTAACTTTTTTTTTAAWTTCTACTAGAAAGAAATTATGATGAGTAGTATTACATTTTCAAGTTTTTTGATTGACAAATATGTTGTGATTGATATGAATTTTATTGTACACAAAATATTCTTATTTGTAGGTAGGTACTGTAGTTCCAGTATATTTACACTATATTACTGATTTACACGCGAGTACACAAAAATATCTATTTAAATTTTAATTTATACAATATAGCGACTTAAGTGAAGTCTCGATAACTCAAATTTTTTTGTTATCTCATTGGCCATGGCCCATGAAGTAATTTAAAATAATGTTTCTGAAGTAAAGGTATAATTCAAAAATACATGAATTGAAGTTACTTTATTCCCCTTAAAATTCGAGTTTTCGAGACGCATCATTATCATTATAATATGTGTGTGTGTATCATAAAGATTTTCTATCACCTGTATTAAATATGATAAAAAATAAGTTAAGTTTTTAATTTTTAACTTACTTGTAGGATTGTAAAATTCGTTCTTGTTTTTCTAATATTACTTTTTGTTTTTCTAAGTAAAGTCTCTCTAGTTCTTTCATCCTAATATCACGATCAGTAACTAAACGGTCGCTGCTCCTAATTCGTATAATACATGACAAAAGTTTAAATATAGCCAATATAGGTAATTTATTAATATTTAATTCGTAAGTATATTATAATATACTAACTAATAATATATAATACCTATAATAGTTACTATTTATCTAATGTCATAATTCACARTATAAGTGTAATTAGGTATTTAACAGTGGAAGTGGAATATGGAAATAACTTTTGTGGTGGATAGATAATTACTAGCAAGTGATGTAACACCTAATCTACTATAGAGTCTATAGATAYATTTCGTCCGTACTACTCGTCAAACAGTCGTAGACGTGCTTATTGTATCGTAGTTAGGGCCGAGGGGTAGGGCAATGCTATCAACATAAAAATAAATATAAAAGCAATTACTGTAATTTCAAGGGGGGCTGCAGACCACTAGGTCCCCTTCGATATACCATTGGTAGTATATCAAATTATTGTATATAACAGTGATTACAAAGTATAAATACTAACCAATTAGTAAGAAATATCATTGGCCAACTATATCTTTCCATCAACTGCATTTTTGATGTATCCGTCTAAACAATAAAATACAACTTATAATTTAATAACAGAAAACAATAAAATAATTATTTAATTATTTTTAGTAATTTAAAGTTATATAGTTACAATTTTTTTAAATTTTTTGTTTTTTTTAAGAATTTTTTCATCTATTTTTTTTACTACGTTTAATTGATCATTATTTTGTTGAATTGTTTCCATAATATTTTGATCACTTTTCCATTTTTCTTGCAAAAAACTTATTAAATATTTAGAACCTTTTTTCACCATGTCCCTAGTAAGGCAATCAAGTGGATTTCCAGCAACGTGTAATTCTCGAAGTTTCGGTAATGATCCTAAACAGAAAGTATATGATATATAAGTATAAATAACAATGAAAGGTGATTCAAATTTATAATCCAATTAACTAATACTCATTTTTTAATAAAAATTCTTTTTACTATTAGGTATAGTATATATATTTATGATTATATATTTATATGTTTATTATATTCTAAGCTTTATGTATATAGTTAGGCCTAGGTGAAAATAAGGAGGGGGCTTTAGGGGCTAGCTTATGAGCTTATTCAATATTAAAATAATAGAGCTTAGCCCCATTCCCAAACTCCAAATCGCTATTTGCGCATATATGTAACTATAGGTATAGATATAAATAAATAAATATATATATTATATACGTATAAATATATAAATAATATTTTATACTATTTATATAATTATTATTATACATACCCAGCGTTAAAGGCAATCGCTTTAAATCATTTTTTCCCAAAAGCAATACCTGTAAATTTTTATGACCCTGAATACCATCTGGTAATCGACGTATTCTGTTGCATCGTAAATCTAACCACATAAGATTTGTACAACCAGTAAATAATTCATCGGGTAGTGTCCGTATGATGTTATTGTCCAAGTATAAATACTACGTAAAATAGTTATTATAAAAATCATAATATCAATTAATTAAAATAAAAAACAGTAAGAACATGAACATGACAGATATATATGTAAGTATAAAATATTGTACTTACTCTAACGAAACAACCTATCTCTCGAATAAGAGATTCGGGTATAGACATTATATTTCTATTTTTTAGGGTAACGATTTCCATTGCTTTAATTTATAATATTATAGTAAAAAAAATACGAAAAAATCAAATTGTACTGTATGTAATCAAAGGGTACGTCATAATAATATTATAAATAGTGATATCAATACTTACATAGTGCTGCCATGACAACAGTCTAACTGCTCTTTAAGCTAATTAAAATTTTTCGAGTGGGGAGTCTCTTTTATTGTTATTTGAATTTTGAATCTTAAGTTTCATCTGTTTAATATATATTTGTCTATAAATCATCAACTTATAAAGGACAGATGAAAACATTTCAAACAAATCATTAAATTATCTATGTATAGTAATAGATATGTATCCATGTAGGTTAATATGAGGTAACATTTTATCCTTTTATTGTAGAATTCATTTATATTTTTGCCCATATAGACCCATGATGTTTTTAAGCCAAGACAAGTATTCCCGTTCTAAAACATTTCAATTATTACTACCCCTGGCCAAAACTCAACAGTTTAAGCCAAAATGATGAGGTCATACTAAATAGACTTAGAATTGGCCACACGCGATTCTCCCGTGGATACCTGATGAGAAAATCCGAACCCTCCATATGCGTCTTGTAACTTGATCATCACTGTCAAACACGTATACTCATTCATTATCAACTTTTTACCTAAGCCAGAGAAGAACACGCAATCYCAAACAACCTTTATGAAGCTATTGGGCCTTATAATACAGATCCAGAAAAAATAATAATTTCTTTCCTAAAAAAAATTGAAATGTACCACATAATATAATTTTAATTTATTGTAAATGTATAATATATTATAATCTATAATATAATATAATATTACTACTATAAGCTAATAACCTTGTAGTTGATGATGTAACAATGAAAAAAAAAAAATTATTACTACCTGTAATAACCAACTTTTACCCCCTGCTTACTAGAAAATTTTATCAACTATATCATAATCTAAATAAACATAATTGTAAAATATATTTCGATTTATTAACGATTTCGAATGCACAAAATCTAAAATTTATAATATCCTGCACAATAATTTTAAATGATTTATAATTCAGAGTTATCATAGTTGGTTGGAATATTGAATTATTATTGATATTATTTGAGTTACAGTAGGATAGGTATAACTATATAAATACTACGCATAATGTTGTGTTTAAAAAAGATAATTTGTTGATTTATAATACACATTATTATTGTCATGTCGTGCAATTATTAAATATATCAATTAATCAATATATTTATAAACATTGACTTCAGATCTTTAATATAATTCTCGCCTTTACAACTTTACATCATATTGTAGGTATTTAAATATACATAAGACATAACTATAAAATAAATGAATATTTCAGACCAAGTTGATAGTTTTAATGTGTTCGTAGAACTTTTCACAATTTCATGTTTGTCTGGTATTGAATCAAGATGACAAGATAAGTCAAACCCGCAGCAAAAGTCTTAAAACAACAACAAAAAACATAAAAGAAGAATTACTAATTGGATTGTTGTTTTTTAATCTATAAATAAAAATAAAAATATATATTACATCTAATTAATGAAATAACACGAATATTAAACTTACTGAAATAATGAGACGGATATTTAATGTAAATATATCGCATGCTGTAAATTCGACAGAACTATGAGAAAGTTGGTCCAAAAACAAATTGAGCTGTACAAAAAGTGATAAAGATTTAATTAATATCGATTTTATGGTTAAATATATCATTGACATTTTAATTAAAGTCAGAGGTAAAGGAGATCAATTTCTTGGATATATAACTAATATGGCTTTGTGGGCGTATTGTAGGGTCAATAATGTTTTGTCCAGTCACATTATTCTACAAYAGTGCAGTTGCATACGCAGTATATGCTCTGTATACATATAGGTATACAGCATACCTACGTTTGAAATTATATGAAAATAAATTTTTATACATTGTTATAAAAATCAATAATAATAATTTCCAGCAAAGG